TCTTTAACTTCTTTTAAAAAAATTGCTTTTGCTTAATTGGAGAGAGAGAAAGAGAATTTGTTTTCCAAATTTCTTCAACAGCCAGGACAGGGTCAAACCAAAGCCAGGAATCTGGTCTCCCACATAGGTGGTAAAGACCCAAGTACTTGAGCCATCATCTGCTGCCTCATGGGATGTGTGTTAAGGAAGGTGAATGAAATAGAGAATTTAAGACTCTGAGTGATGATGGCTGAACTAATTGGGTTATTGACACTCCTGTGGGAAGCTTGATTGAATTTCTGGCTCCCGGCTTTAACTCAGTAATATCTGGCTTGGTTGCTTTGGACATTTGGAAAATGACGTAGCAAATGGTGCTCATTCTTTCCCTGTTTCTGTCACTTTACATCTCGGGCAAATAATTTAAAGAGGATATTTCAGATTCAAGTGGTCATAAATAATATATCTTAAAAATTATATTTTTCAGTTATCACTGGTATATATGAATGCAGTTGTTTTCAGACGAGATCGGGCGCATTCAGGGTGGTATGGCTGTGGACGAATGCAGTTGTTTTCAAATGATTATTTCAGTGCTGGCTTTGTAGTGCAACTGGTTAAGATGTAGCCTGCAAAACTGGCATCAGAGCCCAGCTTCAGGTCCTAGCTGTTCTGCTTTTAATCCAGCTCCTTTCTAATGCATGTTGGAATGCAACAGAAGATGGTCTGTGTGCTTGGGATCCTGACACTCATGTGTAAGAACCAGATGGAGTATGAGCCCTGAAACAGGACTCCTGGCTTCAGCCTGTCCTAATCCTAGCCATTGTGACCATTTCAGAAGTGAAGTGTGAGGATGAAAGATATGGCCGTGTCTTTCGTTTAATTCTGCCTTTCAAATAAATAAGTCTTTTAGATTGTTTATTTAGCATTCAACAATTTGATCTCTCTTATTACTGCTAGCAATTTCATCTGTGTAGTCTTTCCGGTATTCACATTTACAGGTTTTTTACTGTTTCTTTCTCTGTGATCCTATTGCTATCTTGTTCAGATTATAAATTGGTAGAGGACAGAGACCTTTCTTTAATATGTTTTGTGCAGAAAGTAGACATTGAAGTTTTTATTAAATTATATGTAAAGCGAACTCAGGGAAAAAACTTAATATCTTGTATAGTGTCAGAGAGGCAGAAGGGAAAATCAAATTTAGAGAGGAAAGAAAGGGCTGAATTAGAGGGTACATGATGATATGTAACAGATCGATACTTTCGCCTTATTCAGCTTGGGGCTTCTAGAAGAGGACTGTAATTTCGGAGTTAAGAGTTTTTATTTTATTTGGAAGGTGTTTGATAGAACTATTCATTTGCTGCTAGGAAAATCATGCTTTTAATTCTAAAGGTCAATGTAATTATTTACAGTGTGGGCTTTTAATGGGTTTAAAGTTTTTAGACAAGGGATCTGAAAATCCAGGACAGGAAATCTTACAATGAGAGGAAATGATCAGATAGAGGTTAGAAAAGAGCTAAGAGAGTGTTATTCACTTAAAAGGAATTAATGAATCGAATAAACCAAATCTTTATATTTTTGAGACTTGCTTTCTATATTCCCAAACTAGATTAGGAATCAGTGTTAGGTATTGGCATGGAAACAGAAGGTAATACATTATTGTTACTAGGAGGCAAAGAAAAACGTGCTTGGAAAGTTGGATATATGAATATATGTTTGTATCTTAGAGCACTAGGAGAAATGATTAATGAATTATGTTGATCATTACTGAGATTTCTAAGTATTAGAAATAAGTATGAGAGGGATTTGAAGGCAATCTTAAATCCAGATAATTATTTTCAATTATTGCTACGCTATTAAAGCTGAACAAAATGCAAAAATACATGACTGATATATAAATATGTGTTTATGTACATATGTATGTATATATATAATATAAACAGAGACATATATATATACATATATGGAGACATGTAAAGATTTATTTTTATTAGAAAGGCAGATTTATAGGGACAAGGAGAGACAGAAAGATCTTCTGTCTTCCAATTCACTTCCCAAATGGTCACAATGGCCAGAGAGGAGCCAATCCAAAGCCAGAAGTTCTGGGTCTCCCACGTGGGTGCAGGGTTCCAAGGCTTTGGACCATCCTCCACTGCTTTTCCAGGCCACAAGCAGGGAAGTCGATGCAAAGTGGAGCAATCAAGACATGAACTGGTGCCCATGTGGAATGCTGGCTCTTCAGGGCAAACAGAATTTGCCTGTTGAGCCATGGTACCAGCCTCATGTATAAGGCATTCAAAAGACAACAGAATCACAAATGTAAAAACAGCTTGGATATTTAATATTGAGAATATAGCAAGGTTGCTTACTCTGAGATCTGAAACCCCAATTTACATTGAAAATTTTAGAAAAATAAATCTTTTAAAAAAAAGGAAAATTTTAGAGAATGGTGTTATTTAGGTAATTTAAAATAAAAGGCTTATATTGAACTGAAAGGTTAATCAACCTCATTTGTAGCAGCAACGACCAATAGAGTTTATTCATCATCTGTGTGGTCTTATATCATCTACATATCATCTACATAGCCTTATAAAGTAGGTGTTAGATTGGAGCTGTCAACTCTGGGCCAATGGATTTATAGTAGCTGGACATTGTAGAGATCCCATGGATCCTGGAACTTCCCTAAGTCCCTTTTTGATGACTAGTGTACAATAGACTTTGGAAATACCATTAAAGAAATTATTTATTTGGGGGTCAGCAATATTAGCAACCCATGTTGGAGTATTTGTTCAAGTCATGACTACTATGCCTCCTGTTCAGCTTGCTGCTAATGTGTGTGGGAAAACAAGAAGCAGTGAAGGATGGCCAACTGCATGGGTCCCCGCCATCCCTGTGAGACTCCAGTGGAGTTCCTGACTTTGGCTTGACCTAGTTACAGTTGTTGAAACCATTGGGAAATGAACCAGGAAGATTTCTTTTTGTATTCCTCTCCCCCACCAACAACTCTGCATTTTAAATAAATACAATATTTTTTAAAAAACTATTTTATTTAAGAGGGAGAGACAGATTTTCAGAGAGAATGAGAATGAAAATGCAAGCATGCTCCCCTTCAGTGGTTCATTCTCCAGATGACTGCACTGGTCAGAGCTGGGCCAGGGCAAGTGCCAGGAGCTCAGAACTCAATCAGTTCTTCCTTGTATTGTAGGGTTGTCGGATTGTAGGATTGAATTGTAGGAACTCAGCTACTTGAGAGTTATGACGGTTGCCTGCTAGGATTTGTATTAGCAGACAGAAGCAGGTATCAAATCCAATATGGGATGTAGACATTCTAACTGGTGCCTAAACCCCTTAACTCCTGGGATAACCTCCAGCCCTGAGAACTACCGTCTTAATGTTTGTGTTATGGTGTCTCGTATTGCCAAATGAGATGTTAGTACTTTGTGAAAGGGTAGGACACAGCTTTTAGACATATTTTTCATGAATCTCTGAACTTAGACAGGTTTCATGACTTCTGGGATTTCATTTTTCACTGATGTATCCTCAATGCCTGGAATGGTACCCAGTAGGAGATGCTTAATAAATAGTATTGGATATATAAATTTGCAAGTGAGTGAATGGAGCAGTATTAATAATAAAACATTTTTTGTCATATTCAAAAAATGCTGATGGTTTCTTGATAGATTTTTCAGTCAGTTGTAGATTTGTTGTTAGTTTATTATTTTAAGTTCTTTTCTCCCTCTAGGATGTAGCACTTAATAAATATACTTGAAGTGATTGTAAGGGCAGAGACAAATATTTAAGAGATTGAATAAAGTCTCAATACACATAAATGTTCATCAGAAATTCTGTTTTCCATTTTCCTCTGTACAAGTTCAGTTTCAGGTCTGTATGTAGCAAGGGGATGTGAGCCACTTTATTCCAGTATTGCTACATAATTGGCATGGCCCCACTTGAACCTATGGGATCTGGGGCATATAATGAGTTAAGCGGTTTTTGCTGAAGTGACGCAAATGCTTTTAAAATACTTCTGGATTATTGCCAGTCCCCATATTACCAACACTACCCTTTTTTAAAGATTCCAGCATACAACATTCTGATGTGCTCAGGCATGCATATTGAACTGCTACTTTCTGAATGTGCTGTAATTCAAAGGAAAACTTTTTGAAGCAAGGCAGATCTTTACACTTTGCTTATGCATAACCTGCCTCAGATCTTGGGCTCTTAATTGAGGATCTGCTTCTGTAGCCTTAACTCAGATAAAACTTACAAAGAGCTGCTTTATACGGGTATAATTAAATTCTGGAGAGATGATTTCTATAATTACTGAGGGAATGCTTGAGCAAATTATTAGAATTTAAATAATTTCTTCATAATATTTACTAGTATTTTGAGAGATTAAAATTATAAAACATATTAATGCAAAGAATGAGATGTTGAAGAACTGCTAAGGAGGGCATGTTGTGTGGCAAAATTCACATTCTTATTCCTATCTTTGATCTCGGTGATAATTTATGTGACAGTTTTGTTGTTCCTAAAGAGAGTTCATTAACTATTTCTAAATAAGTCCTATGACCTGGTGAATTTTGGGCACGTTTCAAAACTAGAATTTTAAAAAGTTGTCATAATTCTGAAAAAATAAATTATTCACCCTACAGTACCCCTGGTCATGATTATTTTGGCTTTGAGTATACTCTGTGTGCTAATGAAATTTACTGGATTTGGCAACCTAAAGCAGTGTTTTAACCTGTACTTCTACTGGGCAATGATGGACTGTCTTGTTTCTTGTCTCATAGGACTTTTCAAGTTCTATTGCAATATTTTTCCGAACATAACTAATGCCCCAATTTGAATGCTTTTAGCTCTTTTTTTATATATAAATTGAGAGCTTTTGGTCAGGAAAGTAATTTTAATTTTGATTTTGATTTATAGAATACTTTATGTTTTTGAGACTCTGAAAAGCTATAGTGTCTTTAACTTGAAGGAAATCATGAAACTGATGCATTTCTTAAATTTTACAGGCTGGAAAGCTTCATGTTCTGTGCTACAATTTTGGAGTGGAAATGAACAAACAAGGCAAATTTCAAGAGAGTTCTTTCTGGCTTAGGTAATTATGAAAATGTAAATTCAGAAATGTTATCATATAGAGATCAGTTAATACGTACCATAAAGTATTTTGATAGTTTAAACTTTCTCTCATTTCAGAAGCCAACATGCTAAATTTATTTACTCCTTTAACATATGTTGCTGATTATTCTTACATGTTGTCACTTGGTGGAGAATGTATTATTTTTATTTTCCCCCCCAGTTCGCCTTTGTTTCGCCTTTGGGAATACGTGAAATTGTTTTGTTCTTGCTTTGGTACTTGCTGTTGTCTTACAACTCCAGAATAGAAGTTGGAGTTGATGTGTGTACATGGGAGTTGGATCAACTCACTTATTATTAGTTTCAGATTAATTTTTATATTTTAACCTTAGTCAAATAAGCATATACTTAGTGTCTATTATATGCTGAGCACTATCCTAAGATTTTTACTATTGTACTTGATCTGGAATTATAAAGATAATATTACAAAAATAAAGCAAAAACCTATGCCTAGCATAGAGTCTAACACATATTTGATATTTGGTAGTTGTTGGTTAAATGAATTTACATGAAAAAAATGTATTTTTTTGGAACTGTCACATAAGACGTTTTGAGGATCAGATAGTACTGGAGTAAAATGTATCAAATTAATTCACTAAATATTTATGCTTTCTCAGTACTAGGATGATTCTAGTTATTTGGAAATATTCCTATGATTGTATTAAATATATTTTAACCAATGTGAAAATTCCATTTGTCATTTTAGGTAATAAGTACTAATATGGCCATTGAAACGAATAGTACTCATGAGCTTGTGTGTTACTAACAAAACATTTATGGAAGAAGCAGTTTATTATTGATCATACGTTATACCAAGAACTGTGACTGATAGAACAGGCTTATGCAGTCTTAAGTATATGATTTATCTCAATTTAGACTTCACACACCTGGAATAAACCTGAAACTTTTATTATAAATCACATAGTAGTCAGATTATTTAAAATGTACTAAAGAAACAAAGAAATTTAGCATTGGTTTTTTAACCACAGGCTTTCTTTAAATGAATAACCTTATATAAAGTGTATGATGAGTGAGTTCTATTACAGGCTTGCATAGTAAGTTTATAGTATCAGCATATCAAAAGAATGGTATGACAAAAAGGCAGTGAATTAGGGGATCACAAAACTAAATAAAAAGCAATGCGGATGTCATGATTGACTTCTTAGAAACCTAGGACTTGGAAGTATATGCCAAACTAAGGGTGAATTAGGAGTCTTAAGAATAAACACTTAAGAATAAAAACTCATAAGAGTAGGCTGAGAAATGGCATAACACATGGGTTATTATTTCTTTTTAAGATTTTCTCTTTTTTTTATTGCAAAGTCAGATATACAGAGAGGAGAGACAGAGAGAAATATCTTCTATCTGCTGATTCATCCCCCAAGTGACTGCAATGGCCAGAGCTGAACTGATCAGGAGCATGGAGCTTCTTCCCGGTCTCCCATGCGGGTGCAGGGTCCCAAGGCTTTGGGACATCCTCAATTGCTTTCCCAGGCCACAAGCAGGGAGCTGGATGGGAAATGGGGCTGCCAGGGTTAGAACCTGTGCCCATACGGGATCCTGGCACATTCTAGGCGAGGACTTTAGTCTCTAGGCCACTGGACCAGGCCCACATGGGTTATTTTTACAAACGTCATGAATTTTTGGCCTCTTATTATAGTTCAAAGAAAATGTTCCTCTTTGTTTCTCTGTCTCTTTCAAATAAAAATTTAAAATATATATTTTTTAAAATTAAAAATGATGGTGCACAATTGCCATCCACATTTTAAGTTAACTGCATAATCAGTTTGTTATTGTATTTAGTGGCTGTGTATGCAGGAATATAGTTTGTCCTAGTCAATTTTTCATACAAATCTATGTTATTGATTCTATAAATCTATGTTACAGAACATCACTATGAGCTATGAGCCTTTGCTTTTATTGGAAAGGCAGATCAGATTTATGGAGAGAAGGAGAGACAGAGAGAAACTATCCATTGGTTCACTCCTCAGATGGCCACAGTGGTCAGAGTTGAGCCAATCTGAAGGTAGGAGCCAGGAGTCAGGAGCTTCTTCTGGGTCTCCCACGTGGGTGCAGGGTCCCAAGGCTTTGGGTCATCCTCTGCTGCCTTCCCAGGCCACAGTCAGGGAGCTGAATGGGAAGTGGAGCAGTGAGACCTGAACTGGAGCTCATATGGAATCCCAGGCCTGCAAGGCGAAGATTTAGCCATTTAGCCATCATACCAGGCTCCATTATGAGCCTTTTGTATTCCATATACTGGAATGGTACTAAAGAAAAGAGAACTTGAATTTCAACCCTTATTATATTTGTGATTTCAGTCTCGGCTTGATTTTTTCCATGTGTATAAAATTACTTGAAAAAATACTTTTAGTTTTTTGACAGACATTGTAATTTAATATTAAAAAAAATAGCCATAAGTGTTGACAAGAATTTCAGCACAGTGAATAGTAGTTTTTCTCATATTAGACCAACTTGCAGTCAAAACTTGTGGTCTTCTATGACACTGTGAAGTTGCTAATGTTGTGACACTTACAGAAGCATCTAAAAATCAAAATGTTGTAGGGTTTAAATATGATGCATGTATTGTACAATGTTCAGTAACATGCCTAGGAAATAGAAACTCCTCGGTAAATGGTAGATGTTCCTGGCAGCTGCAGTTAATGTATTTGCTGTTCCCTGAAAATGGACACTACTGTGGCCACTGTTAGTTCCTGTCAAATTTGTTGTCATCAAAGTTAAGCTTGAGTTAACTGACTTCCCAGTGAAAATGTCATAAAAAAAACAAGTACCCACATCCTCTATCATACACTTCCAGTCCTTGGCGCAATTTTTTCATGCTTTAATTATATCCATGTGTTGAGAAAACTGTTGGAAGCAGTTGGTGATACAAGCAGAAATGAATAGCTGCTAATTAAGCACCCTTCTCTGTAGATTTTATGCCAGAAGGAAGCCATGGAAAATGAGTGTACTTTCTAAAGGCTTAACTCTTTTGAGAACAGTGAATATCTTAGCCTAGAGGTACCCATTCAGTATAAAAACTACGTTTTTGTACAAGTGATAATACATGAAAATTGCTTGTATATTACAATTTTGTTGAAATGGAGACCTAGATCTACCTAAATATAAAGGGTGACAATGAGTATAGCTTAGAAAGTTCAATTCTTCCCTTGGTTTCTGTTAACAGGTCTCAGCTCAGGATTTCTCTGTTTTTGTCTCCCCCGTGACTTTTCTTTTGCTAAGGAACATTCACGAACAGCTGCTGCTCTTCTTGCTTTCTGCCACTCTTTTGATTATGTACCCTTATTATAGATACCACCATTAAGAATAGGCTGCTGTAATTATGAATGAAATTATGATTTCTTCAGCTCACTTCATTGTCAGTATATCTGCTTCAGTGTAGTCAATGACAGTGGTAAATTTCATTAGGCTTCTATAAAATACAAAACTGCGGATTTTTGAAATGTCACCTTTGGAAATAATGTGTTAAAAAGATTTTTTTTTTCTTAACGAAATACCATGCTGTCTCCCTCTTCCATTCCCCTCTTTTGTAATTTTGGTAGTATGATGTCCTGTTAGCAAAAGGCAAGCATAATTAGAGAGGAAGAGATTGAACTTTCCTCCACATTCTGGAGGTTTTGTTGACTTCTCAGTTTCCCTGCTGGAATTTGTGTTGTGTCCTTCTTTGAGTCCTGCCTAATCATTGACCATATATTTTGCCCAATTTGACTGAGATACAGAAAATTCAGCGTAGCAAGTTAGTATTCTATAAATAACAATTGTAAACTAACATACAAATAAATCCAATTCAAAGGAATTTAGTTATTTTAGCACAATGACTTTACAGATTTCTTTTCTCTTGGGAAAAAATGCATTAAAATCAAACCTTAATCATATTCCTAATTCAGAATGATTTATCTGTATTTCTAATAGTTCTTTCTAATTTGTTGAACTACAATCCTTGGGGCTCCCGGCCTGTAGCAAATCAAGCATCTTTGCAGCTGGTAAATACCTAGGCAGTTCACTATATTCCTTTTGATGTAAGATGTATTTTCTTTTTCCTTTTAGGCTTTCTTTAGATAAAATTGGCAAGTAAAAATTGTATGTTTTTGCAGTGTGTAATGTGTGTTTTATGTGTATGTATATATAGTATTGTGAAATGGTTACTACGATTAATTAATATAGTTAAATAATTTTACAAGGTTATCATGCTTTTGTACTGCACACATTTAAAATCTACTCTTAGCAGAATTCAAGTATATCATGTAATATCATTAAGTATAATAACCAAATGGTGGGTTAGATCTCCAGAACTTATTCATCAACATAGATGAAACTTGGTACTATCTGACCAATATCTCTGCATTTCCTCTACCCCACCCCTGGGCAGTCACACGGTCACTATCGTACTCTTTGCTTATATGAATTTTTTAAGATTTAACTTTTATTTTTAAGGCAGATTTACAGAAAGAGGAGAGACAGAGAAAGATCTTCCATTTGCTGGTTCACTCCATAAATGTCTGCAATAATTGGAGTTGGGCTGGTACAAAACCAGGAGCTAGAAGCCAGTGGCTTCTTCCAGGCCTCCCATGTGGGTGCAAGGGTCCAAACCATCCTCTCCTGCTTTCCCAGGCACATTAGCAGGGAGCTGGATCAGAAATGGAGCAGCTGGGACTCAAACCAGCATCCATTTGGGATTCTGACACCACAGACAGAGGCCTAATTTACTAAGCCATGGGTCAGCCCTGAGTTCAAATTTTTTTGGTTCCACATATGAGACTATGCCAGGCTTCTTTGTTTCTTTGCCTGGTTTATTTCACTTTAAACATGATGTCCTCCAGGTCTACCTGTATTACTGCGAATGAAAACATTTCCTTTTTCCTATCATTTACTTTTTCTTTCTACTTTTCCGCTCTGTGTCTCTTTCTTCCTCCTGCCTCTCCCACCACACACAAAGACAGACAG